TTGAATGTTGGCGGACGGGATTTTCCGGTTCATGCCCACAAGCAGGATCTTCTCATTTTTAGGGTAGTGAACGTTTGGCGGGATTTCAATAACACTCAAATACGAGTTCTGAACAATGGTGAACGCTGGCGTTCCTAAAAATGCTTATTCCAATGGTAAGTTTCACAAAGGACTACTTTTTCATGGAAGTAGTGCACGTACCAGGCTTGCATGATTTTATATATTTGAGATGCGGACATCGTAGACTTCTGTAGTTTGTCATGGTCATCACGATACAGACCTCCATATAAACTGCATTTGAGCAGAACGCATTCATCTCCATTTCCGACACTTCTCTAGCATCGATCACCATTTGGATTCCTTCTGCTTTGATATATGGTTTTCCTGCACAAGCCCTAACGAAGTCAATTTCGGTAAAGCCGCCGATACCCAGACCGCAAGCTAAATATGTATTTATCATAATTGTATTGGTAATTTGTGTTGAATAAAACTTACATGGGACGTAGTACTCAATCACACTGCGACTAATGTATCCGACCATAATGTCAATTACTGCCCTTGGTAGCTTCGGATTGCTTCGAATTGTGGCTGACTGGATGCATTGACGACCGCAGCTGGGGAATTCCACAAATATCAGCTCAAAGTTGTAGGTGAGAGTCAACGGATCCTTTCCTATAATACCTCTATTAATCGCTTTCAGTGCGGAACATATTTGATGTATGTGGAATTACGATGCTTGAACTCTTCATATCTAACTATATTTTGGATTTTTTTTTCTTAAACCATCCTGTTGTTCTGCAAGTTGGTTAGTACAAATTCAACATCTAATATATTCGGGTGTCTCTAAACCCTATAGAAATCAATTGACCTGGTGCACAGGATAGCCATCGGGTTAGCTTGGGGAATGAGAGCTTCTTCACAGACGATCCGCTGATGGTGACACACATTTGCATTTCGACAACTTCCGCGAATAACGCATTTAGCTGTTTTTCTGGCACATTTGAAAGATCAACCTCTAGTACGACATTTGGTCCTGGAGAAATGATCGGTTGTCCAATACATCGTTTCACGAATTCGGCAACGTTTGTGATTCGCCCCAATCCACTGCATTCTGAAAAAATACGACTCATAAAGTTTTTTGAAGTATGGCAATTACTGTAGATCTCCGTTTGTAATTGTAGGTTAAATCCTCTAAGTCTTGAGCGCCAAAATCGTAGCGGAAATCCTTTGATTTTAAACGGTGAACAGTCAAGAGAACACTTTGCTAAATCAACACAAACAATTGCGAAACATCATTAGCCTTTCAGAATGTTGAAAGTGTATTTTCCTCCCCAGTAATCCTCAAAACTTCATCATTCTTCTTGGAGCTAATAGCGTAAGTGGGGCAAGCACTGGTAATGAGTTCCCTTCAATTTATAATGTACAATAATGTAAAAGGACTGACTTGAGAAAAAGCCTTCAATCTCGCAATGAGTGCACATCTTCTTCAACCTCTGTATAACTTTCACAGGCAGTCTGACGTTCTCTTTCACAAGGAAAAGCTTTTCGTGCTGTGGGTAGCGAACTTTGTCCGGGATATCGACGGCTGTTAGATACTGATTTCGTGTAATAGTGAATATCGGCATTCCTAAATTATTCCTAGAATAAGCAGCAGCTACATTAAGTAATAGAAAGCTAAAAATTAAAAATCTATGTGTTCTTATAAGGCTATCATCTCAAAGATGAAATGAAATACTTTCAAAGTGCAAAAGTTTGTCTTCAAAAAATATGCAATAATTCATTTTAAGTCCTCTCTTTGAGCATGATTTTCCAATCAAAAGCTCATGAAATGGTGGAATCTCAGTTCTCAGATAGCCAAATATGTTTAGATAATCAACTCCGATAGCCGGTGTCCACCTGGTGCTATAAAAGACCAAATAAAAAAACTGTACCTGACTTGCATGGCTTCACTTGTTTGAGGTGAGGGCATTGTAATCTTCTATATTCCGTCCCGGTCATCACTATACAAACTTCCATGTAGATTGCTCTTGAGCAGAAGGCTAGCAGTTCTATTTCCGATATTTTGCTGGCGTCAATCACCATGACCTGTCCTTCGGGAATAATGATCTCTTGCCCAGCACAGGCTCTTACGAAGTCGATCATCGAATATGCTCCGTTGCCGAGACCGCACGCTGAACGCATTCCATATTGCTGCTCATCTACAGAACAGAATTAGCTTCGAGAAAACTTACAGGGGGGAGAGTATTCTAGGCGACAGTGGTTGCAATAGGATGCGATCATCTCGAGCACATTTATTGGCAGTCTCGGGTTGTGCTCGACGTGAACACCGTTTAGACACGGTTCTCCTCGTTTGCACAACGGGAATTCTATGATTGTTAGCTCGAAATTGTACGCGAGGGTTAGTGCTTTTCCTGAAAAATTGAAATAATATTCCAAACAGATTTTAAATTAGAATGTTTTTAACTGTGAAT